CAAAATTACATGAAAATATCTATTTGGCTTTCCACACTAGAAGCATTTATACATCCAAAATGATAAATATGGAGAAAATAGTAACTTGTAGAGATATACTGAATGAACAAGGAGTACTGAAAATTAGATTAGAACAAGTAGCACAAGGGGTAAATATAGAATAGTGGTCTTATTTACAGATACAATCAAGATACACACAAGATAGAAAAACATGGGGTATTAATAAAGCATTAACAATTCTTTATATTGTTAGAGACAGATGATAAATTAATAAAAATATTGTATAGATATTTATTAGAATATAAAATTGAGGAAGAATATATTAAAGAAACGATGGTGGCATGGGCAAAAAAATTCAGTTATGATATTGAATTGGCTAAATGACAGAAACTTTGGATCACAAATAAGAAAACAACATTGGCTACGGCTTATAAAGAAAATCTTTATAAGATGTTTTACAGGTGGCATCTTCCACCAGCAAGTCTTTGTAAAATGTTTAAAAATATATCTCCAAATTGCTGGAAGAGTAAAGATGTACCAGGCACATTTTTTCACATGTGGTGGACCTGTAATGCTGCAAAAAATATTGGAGACTGACTCAAGCATGGATAGAACAAATGGTGGGAGAGTGTATACCATTTAAACCAGATTTTTTTCTTCTTGGAATAATATCAGAAAAATTTAAGAAGGAAATAATGTATCTAATACTACATGTATTGATGGCAGCTAGAATATTATATGCACAATTTTGGAAAAATGAAATCATACCTCCCGAAACAGAAATAATAAGAAAAATTGTGGCATGTGCAGAATTAGATAGGTTTAGAAATAAAAGACAAAGGAAAGTCTAAGTATTATAAAACATATAATAAATTTTGTCAATAGTTATATAGTAGAAGACAAGGTCAAAATATTAGTTACTATTAGATTAATTAGTAATTAATATATTAAATAAGGAGATTATAAATGATGAAATAAAATGTATATATGTATGATAAGGATAAGTTGAATGTATTGTGTTGTATTCTCATAATTAAAATTAAAAATAAATTAAAAAGATTCAAATCCACATAAATCAGGAATATTATAGCAAAGAGTGTAGAATTACTCAATTATCCTGATGCTGTGGAATAGTCTTCCCTTTGAGATCTATAATAAATTAGAAGAGCTACAAAAAAAAAAAGAATTCTTTCTTCTTGTGTTTTCAGACTGATACCCTCCTTCTCCAACAATACGGCCTCCCCCAATAGGAAGTCCCAGCATGTTTTATAGGCATGAAATGAAATTAAGCCCCTCCCCCCAAATTAACGCCTATATTAAAACATGTGAAATGGGTGGAATGGTGGTGGGGCTTGCCATTAGGAAGTACTTTTGTTGCACACCCAGATATGGTGCTGCCTGCATTGACCCCGATACGAAGTGCCCCACCAACTCCGAGGTCAACATCCAAGCCATCACCCGCCCGCCCAAAGATGCAAGGGGGGGGGAATTAAGTCACCCCCGAAAAGACAGCCTAGCCATTTTTTCGGGGCTCAAAAAAAACACAAAAACCCGGCCTTATTATATGAGAAACACGGTACTTAAAATAATGTCTTGATGATGGGCTTTTTACTTGGCAGTTTATTCCACTATGCAAGTAGTTGCAGGATTAGATTGCTGCTTCTTAATTCCAATAGTACATTTTTCTCTTTCCCCATTTTTTTTCTCCCATCTGGGTTAAGTTAACTTACTCAACAGCAGGACTGAATCTCATTTCCTTCACCAGTAATGTTATATAGGCAGTGATCTTGGCCTGCCCTAACATAATTGAAAATTACGTGTACTGTAGACTTGCAGTGCTAAAAAGTAGACTCATAAAAGTCTAGGGCTCAGGTAGCCTGTGGAGATTGGATTTGGCATACAATGAAGCTTTTATGTAAAATAAGAATTAGAAGCCACCACATTAATATTGTATTATGGTTCAAGTTTGAAGCTATTGAATAAAACAAGTGTTTTATTCTTTGTCAATAGATCTGGTGTTTTTTCAATTTAAACTGGATGAGGTAAAGCTGTAGAAGGGGTGAAATATCTGAGCGGATTCAGAAATATTCAAAATGCATCCTTTATGCCACTCTCCAAATGTTGGACTTTTTTGAACTTTCTAGTCAAAACACTCTGCATAGAAACATCTATTGTACTCATTCACTCCCTGCATAGAAACATCTCTTGCACCCCTAATGCTTATAAAGCTGCATTTTATATTAGTTAAAATAAACAGGGTTAAAAATATTAATAAAAACTATTTTGAAGCCTGTTTCTGAAAGGCAGGGGAAGGTCAAAATTGCTCTTATTTCTAGTAAAAGTGATATTAATGAAGCTGATTTGGGCTATGTGATTGTTTTTATGAGTAGCTCAAGATTAGAGCAATGGAATGTTCATTTGCTGCTATTGATGTCACCATACCATACCATACCTATTGAATAATTATATCATTGTAACCAAAATGACAATAAGTTACATGAAGAAAGTACGGGTGAACTGGGATATTAATTGAAGGATAGTTTGAACCTGTAAAATCATTTTTATGCCACAAAGGTTTGCTGTAAAATACTAAATTTAACCATTTTTTAACTACAGGTTTTTAATATTTAATAAACAGGGGAAGGCTTTCTGTCTATTCTAGGACAAAAATAGCTTGTAATTCTGACTAGGGAATGCAAAATGTTTTGTAACTGAATTCTTAAAACTCAAAGCATCCCATTTTGATCAGTTATCAGTTTCTTGTTGGCAAATTGTGAAAATTATATTCTTGATATATTTGTAGAGTACCAGATTGAAAAAAATATGAAGTAAGATATCTAGTTGTAAGTGTTACAAGCTATTCTTGTAATGGCCACATAAAGGATTAAAATTCTCCAGAATTTACTGCCAAATTGTGTTTTGTGCTGTAATAAGAGAAAATTAATAAATATGTACAAAGTGATCTTTTCAATTGAATTTAATTTACTTAAAAGCAATGTATAACTTCCTGAAAAAGATATACAACCCAGAGGTAGGAACAAAAACATTACACATGCAAACTAAGATTCTGTATTGGGGCAGATTTTAATCTAGATTTATCCTGGTTTGCTGATGAAATTTATTCACATTTTGGGCATGTACATCAGCATCACATATTAAAGTTTACTGGCAAAGTTCAGCAAAAGCTTTTGTCTTACTTGCATTGCAAACTCTCAATAAATTCAGCACATACTTTCTCAGCAACTTTGTAAATTCTGAAGCCTCTTGATTAACTTCGGGTAACAAGAACATGTCTTGGTTGTTATTGTTGGAAGGAGTGAGCTATACCTTATTCCTGCTTGTGCATCATGAATAGGATTGTTTACTGAGTGTCAGTTTCAGGCAAAACCAGCCACTTGGCTGGAAGGTTGCTTGTATGTCATGAAAGTGCATATTCACCAACAACCGATTCTTTTATTGCTCGTGCTGATGAGCAAGAATGAAATTGCTTGTCTAAATAAAATGTTGGCATTAGGTGATAGCATGGTACAGAGATTTATAATTCTCTGTGCTATATTTTTATAAGTGAGGTTGACCTCGTAATGATATAAATATTTTAGTAATCTACTTATAGCATTTCTTTTATTATTTTGTTACATTGCTATCATACTGTATTTCTAAGATGTTTTGCCCATTTTTTGCTAACCTGAGGGAAAGCCTCAGAAATAAATCAGAGAAAGTTTTTCTAGTACATTTTAGGAAGGTTTAATTTTAAAACAAAGCAAAGGCTGGAGTACGGCAAAGATTATTCAGAAATTGCATGAGATTATTTGCAGCAGATTTACATGCAGCACCCAATGGATTGCTGAGCATGTATGAACAAGTGGGAAGATTTCTAGAAGCATGAAAGCAAAATGCTTTACTGGGATTAGAAAAGAAATGGTGGTTACCCCTGCTTTTTCCTTGCAGTCTTTCTAAAATCCTGAACACAGCATAGTTTGTCAAGATAACTCTTAAAATAGAGTGATGAAAGATGATGCCACCTAAATTTGACAATCCTATTTTCTAATTCATAAGCCAAACCATTTATTCAATGACATAAGGCCTAAAACTAGAAATCAGATTCCTAAGCACACAAGACTGGTAACTACCTGAATTGCTTTCTTCCTTCAACTGTGCTTACAGTCTCCTGGCTTTCTCACTGTCCTTCCCATGGCTTTCTAATTTTCCCTTGTACTGATTTGGGAAATGGTTCCTTGATATCCCCAGTGACATGTGTGCAAGGTAATTCAAGGACCATTAGATTAATAAAAGTGTTTGGATAGCCAGTGTAATGCTGGCTGGGGAATTCTGGGAGTTGAAGTCCATATTTCTTGAAGTTGCCAACACTGGATTTAATGCACAATTAAAGGAATGAGTGAAAACTTTAGCATATGTTTACATAAGCCACACCCTTTTTAAAAAATGGTTTTTAAATATGAAATATCCATGGGTGTGTTACAGGTGCAAATTCTAAGATAAACTTTTAAAGGTCTAACTTTTCAATGATTGTATTTTATGGCAAATAATTATCAATATGGGATTACCGTTCCTTTTAGTAAGACAGCATAAATGGATCTTTCTGTTGTGAGATATACTGTAGGACTATTTCTGTTCTTGCAGTGATGGTAATCATCATTTGTCTTGCATTTTATTCCTTTCCATTCCTGGGCAACATCTTCTTTTTCCATATTTAGTCCTAAGATAATATAAAGTTTGCCTGTTTCTTCATTTCAACAAATATCCATGGGTAAACCCTGTAAACTGCCTAAAATACAGGAGTTTTAGGTAGTAAGAGAAAGTTTATAAATAAACAGTATGGAAATACTTGCGTACACCATCACTGTTAAACACTATCTTTTTAAAAAAAGTATTCGTTATGTTCATTGTTGTTGCATACCCTTTAGTTCTCTTTTACCATGTTACACAACATTTAATTGTCTATTTCCTTTCCTATCTGAAGTCTTTTTTTCTCCATTCAGTATCTCCAGATGAAATGGCCGTTGCTGGATGTCCAAGCAGGAAGCCTACAGAGCAGACAAGCCCTTAAAGATGCCAGGTCCCCATCTCCAGCTCACATTGTGGTGAGTCAATCAAAAAGGACTTCCTTTTGGGCACTTGAGGGAAAGCAATAGGGTTTTGCTGACCACTTCTCCTCTCAAATGCACCGATGATGAAACTGAGAGAATGTCACAATGTGCAATAGTCAACTTGTTAAAAAAATTTTCTTCATGTCTTATGGAAAGTGTAGACTTATTAAAATTAATTATGTAAGCAATTTTGCTGAGGCTGTAGGAAATTGCTGAAGGGTAAGAAACAGCTCATAAGCAACAGGAGTATGTGCTGTAAAAATGCTGGTATAGAATCTAAGAAATAGGAGTGCAAAAGTAATTTTATTTTTTAAAGTGTCTTTTTTGTGACATAGGAAACTGATAAGTACATACATTAGTTTAAGTCTTTAAATCATTGGGGATTATATTTTCTATTTAAGAGTTTTTCTCTTGTGTTGTTTTGCTGTTACACTTTTGGCAACTTAGAGGAGTTTACATGTTTCAGATTTAAACAATCCATGTGTTCAGGTTTATAACTAAAACACATAGCATATAAAGAAAAGGGATGGAAAGGGAAGTAGAAAAGACATTCATGTTCCCCTTGAAAATTAAAGGTACAAACAATTCAAATACATAATTAAATGGCTGCCAATTTTGTAAGCGGTGGCAGGACTCTATACTAATTGGCACCTATGTAGAAGTTATAAAACAGACCTCCATTTCTGTTCTTTTTATTTTGAAAATATTTTATACATAACTATGCACTGTACATATATGTGCATGTAGAATGTCATTTAAACATTTTAGGGCAACCTTTTTACCATATTTTATATAGATTGATCCAAATACCAGATAAATTCCTCAAGTTGCACTAGGTTAATATGAAACTTTTTAAAAAAGCCTAATATAGTTATAAAAAAGCTTCTTTACAATTGTATCTTACATTTCTTCTTTTTTGAGAAAAAAAATAATATTTACAGGTATAAGCAATATTTCAGGCATAAGGCACATAGTGTGTGTGCGTGTGTGTTGATGTAATATATTGATCATTAATAATGACATGCTTGTTATATCCTATTGATTCTTTGACATTGTTTAGGTGAAATGGTGAAAACAGTCAGTTCCTTGTTCAGATTCTGTACAGTCAGTTGTTTCTCACAGAAAACTGTAGTTAAGAATCCAAGCAACTTTTACTCCTACATCCAGATAGATGACATCTGGGTGTGATATAGCATTGTAGGGCAACAATTTTTGAACCAAGGGGATCTCAAGCTGGTTAACTTATGAAATCCATCCAAAATCAGGAACCCATGGATCCTGTGGGATTGAAATTTAGCAAATGTGTGGTCACTTCAGTGCTGTTGCCTGGAGGTTCAATAGACCAGTTCTACCCCAACCCTCCAGAAGTTGGGTAAACTGGTCCTGCCCTCTGCTGCCAGATTTGCAGTCAAGCCAATCATTCCCATTCACACTATTTTTTTTTTGTCCTTGATCATTCTGTTTCTCTGTCAGGTAAGGAAATATTTCTGAAATAATGACAGGTCACAGGTTGTCTAGTAGTGACTAAAATGATGTTTCTTGGACAGAATGATGGAGTTTTAACTTTCCTCCATCATCTTCCATATTGTTCTGGAGGCTTTCCCATGTCCATAGAGGTTGTTTTTTGTTTTAAATGGGGTTATAACTTTACCTTTAAGAGTACACTGCTAACATATATAAACTGCAGCCAAGTCTACATTCAACCCTTTAATGAAACAACTTCAATAAAAGTTGCTCTCTTGTCATTATTAGATACAATATAACGATTGCAAGATTTTTTTTCCTGATATTTTCAATTTATTGAAATTTTTACATTTAAATATTGAAAGGAAGAAACACTTTCAAATTTCTTGTTTAGGACTTGAAAATTTTTTGTCTAATAATTTATGTAGCTTATATAATAGTACAGAGCTTTTGTTTCTCTCCTTCAAGTCCCAAGCTTATTAGAATTTTTTTTCTTACATCAAAATTACAAATCAAGACTATTCATAAATACATGAATCTATGTATTTTTACATACATTTTATTATGCAATAACTTAAATTCAATTATTACATGCCAAATAATAGTGTTTTAGAAGCAAATTCCTTAGGAATTTTTGAGATTTCTTTTCCCATTTGTCGAGAAATATTTTTGAAATCTTGGGAATACTGTTGAATGGATTTCTACAGTTCAATTACCCCGACACTATAGTATGTAATAAGCATATTCTGAGTAATTAAAAAAACAATGCTGAAGAATTGTGGTGCCAAGAGTATTTGAAACACCCACAGACAGTTAACCAAGGCACTGTAGGGTGAAACCACAGAGGAAACAAACATCTAATGTACTTGCCAAGTACTATATTTATTCTATATATTTATTGTAAGGCCTTTTACAAAGAAATGCAAAACCATAAATGGGAAACAAAAGCATGTGTATATGTGCCATCCCTAAGATACTTTTCCTGGCACACAGAACAAATAGTCTTAGTGGTGTGTGTGTGTGTGTGTGTGTGTGTGTGTGTGTGTGTGTGTGTGTGTAGTCTTAGTGGTGTGTGTGTGTGTGAGTGTGTAATATATAATATCACTACTTGTTCTGTGTGCCAGAAAAAGTATCATAGGGATGACATTCTATGACTGACCTGTTTTCATCCCATCCCGTCCTCAAACAAGTCCTGAAAAATTGGCAGGTATTCTAATACAGAAGTAGATCCATAAGAGCAGAAGTGTTCTTTAAATTTTCAAATCCAAAGGAACCATGTGTTTTTAAGCCACTTTGAATAGGATTGGAAATGAACTGAGACAGGACATCAGTAATATAAGCTAAACTCTTATTTACTGTTAAAACTTTTTCTGCTATGTTTCATATCAACTGTACATTAAGACTATCTTGAAAAGCCATCTCATATTTAAGATATTCCAGTAATTCCAGCTAATATTTGATAACTATTTGAATTATTGTAGCAAAATGTATATGCAAGATTTATATTGAATTTGGAATTGTTAGCAGTATCACCAAATTATTTAAACACATGTCATTTTATATTTATTTCTCCCATTGTAGCAGCTCTTGTTTCTTTTCTTATACATGAACTGTCACCAATGATTGCATCCTTGTGTTGGTTCATCTTCTTGCTATGTTGTTCAAATGTGCCATATTTGCACACAGGTTGCAGGTTGAAATCCATCCATATTTTATGGTGTTACAGAGGGAAGAATTTGTGCAGCATTCATTCCATTCCTTACAAGAAGTATATTGTATAATATAAAGTCAAAAGGGAAATGCATTTCAAAATGGCGGTTTTGGCAGTAACATTTGGAATAGGACTGTAACCTTTTAGGAATGTTGGGTGTAAAAATAATTATTACTACTGCATGATTCACAAAGGAGCTTTTCTTCAACGTTTGTTGGTTCAAATTAATCCTTGTGAACTTCATATATCATAATTTAAATGGATGTTAATGACATGCATGTTTTTGCCTGAAAATACAGGAGCAAAATTCTGGTAAAAGTGAAATAAAGTATGTGCATGTATTTAAATATAATTCTTGGCTCTTATTATGTTTCTATATGAACAGAAAATAATGGTGCTGATTTGCCATTTTATTTCATAACTTTTCTCTTGAGATAAAACTGGTATTTTATGTTATGTTGGCTTTCGGAATTATATTCCTGCCTAACCAGAGAAACAGCAATAATTCATAAATGTATGCTTCACTATTCATGATTTTTCTGAAATGTGTAAACCCAGATTTCTGGCAACAAAACCCAAATTGCCTCTCATTTTAGTGTAGTACAGTTTTACATGAAAAGTGCAATTGGAGATTAAACAGATTTTTCAATTGTGTTCATGTTAGACTATTTTACTAGGCTACATGTTGATTCATAGGCAAATTTCAAAATATGAGATGCTTATTTTATTACTTCTTCCATTCTTTGTACAGTGAATCAGTGATTACTTCAAGTTTCATAGATTCACCTGTGATTACAAAAAGCCAAAGTTCTAATGTTTGTGCAAAGGTACTGCATTGATCACAAAAAAAGATCATTCTTTCCCTTTAAATGGGAAAGTTGCCTTAGCTTGGTAAATATAAAAACAGGTATGGATAAAATGCTATAGTATAGCCTTCCTATTACAAAGCTAGTATCTAATAATAATATGGTCACTTTGTATTCTTCATCAATATCCTCCCAAACTTTTCTCTTACAAGGAGTTGTAAATAACTAATTCATCTCCAGTCAAGCATTATAAATAACTTTAGGAACACGTATGATCACACATAACTGACTAGATAAATAACACATCTGTAACAGTGGTGGGTTTCAAAAAATTTTAATCACTGGTTCTGTGGGCATGGCTTGGTGGACGCACAGAGGGTTTCTACTGACCTTCTCCTGCAATCCTCCACTCTCCCTGTGTCTTCAACAGCTGATGTGAGGCAATCTGCTGTGCTCCGCGAAGCAGCTGGGCTTCAAAACTAGGAAATAAAGGTCAGTATAGAGCCCGGGTGGGAGGGCCCAGCAACTGATCATCGGATCGAACCAGTTCACTCACAGATATCCTTGGAGCTATCAGTATGGCCAAACTGGTAGAATACCACCACTGGTCTATAATAAATGCAGACCTTCTTGAACTAAAATATCTTTTTCATTGTTATGAGTGTATGTAATAAATCCATCCATCCAATAATTTGCTGGATAATTAATATAGGATATCAGGCACTGCCATTTAAAGTCTTGGATAAATCAAATACAGCTGGTGAATATATTATTTCTACCATCTGTTGAGTGTTGTATTCTATATCAGATTAAAGTACTATTGTGTTTAATTGCTTTCCCATAGAAGGCATGACTTTGGGCATTCCAGAACATTGACATTTGATAATCTTAATTTATCCGAAGACATTGGTAGAAAAATTCCAAATGAAGGAGTGTATACATAATTTTTCGGTATCACTTAATAGTTGTGCTAGCATTGTAGTCTCTGAAAAAGAATATTCTAAATGTTTAAT